TCAAGCGGACAAGTGAACGTTTTAATTCTTTAAGAGGCAGAAAAGACGTAGCAAGTTTATGCAACTTCCCAAAAATGCAGGATGAACTGTAAAGAGAGAAACTGAACGAGTAAATACTACCTTGAACTGTTGCAACAGATAGAGCAAGAAACATCGCCTAGTACTGCAACTCAAAACTTCATCTTGCTTCTAGTGGTTGTGACCAAGGGGCTTTACGCATGGTTCAATTCCCAATGTCACTGTACAGATGTTCAAGTCCAAAGCATGACCAGAGCCCGTGGCCTACTTTCTGGATAACACTTGGCATTTATGGGGTGACTTGTTTTCATCCGGTCAACTTAAACGATCGCTAAATTGCCTGGATCATGTTCCAGCTTTTCTCAGTGTCAGAAATTTGATATTCCACCGTTAGCATTTCCACCACACATTCTAACCTCATGAGGGGCATAAAAATCGCATTGTCAACTATTAGGTGTGCACTTTCCCATTCGTGTCGACACAACGAGAACTGCCAGTGTCTAACAGATCCGATCATTCTGCCCCGGGAGAAACTTATGCAAACTGCTGTGCAGATATAGAGAAGCGAGGAACAAATGTCTGTGATGTTTCAGCACCAAGTTATTTCGTATTTCTAGACGCTCATAATGTGGCACTCTGCTACAAGTCATCACCACAAGGAAGAAAACGACCAATGTTGAATTGTTCACGAAAATTTCGCGATGAGGCTAATTACCCCCACACTCACTATCGTGCAAACGCACACCCAAGGCATACGCAAGTAACGTGTGCCAATCCTCTCAATGTTCAGTGGATGACATGATCGAAGACACCGATTCCCAGGGGCGTTGGATGTTCAGCAGATGGCATGTGGTCCATAGTGCACATGGCATGGAGTGTGGGCCATGGCGAGTGTGAACCGCACCCGCGTGACTCACCGTACAGTCCACCGGTGAACACCGACTGTCTTGTCTTCGTGTGAGTGTCACCTAGCGTAGCGCAAATCAAATTACCTAAGGGCTCTGTAGGTGTGGGATCCTACACATTCCACTCGGAATCCAGCGTATGTTTTAAAATCCAGCCCTGTGTTTGGTCAAAATCGATCATCTACCGTCTCGTGCGCGGTAGTCGATTGCATAGTCAACTCGGAATGCATAAGGTTGTGTCAGTTCACATGGGGCTCAACAGATGTAAGCACGAAAGTCGGCTGTTTGCACGTAATTCATCAAGGCAACTAGCATACAGCCCTAAGGCAACGGAGGCTCTGTGTAATGCCTATCTTATCACATTTTAACAAGCAAAACATTTGGTCGCACTAAGTCAAACCTAACCGTTAACCTACATGTGACCAGTACAACGGTGTTACGTTGCTTTAGTTTTGCGACACTTCTACACATGCGTAATTACAGAGGTTTCTCTGAATAAAGGAATGCCAAAATTAGTGCAGCGATCACTAGAAAATTAGCGATGATGTTGCCGCTATTTTTGGAGTTATATCCAAAGGCGTTCACATAGATGGTCGTAAAGATCTGAAAGTTCTAGCATGTGCATCACATCCTTGACATGCAAGGGATCAATAGTGATTCGAGTTACTTGATTCCTACGCAGGTAGTATCCCATGCACCTGGAAATGCGATGAACGACCGTTGGGACTCTTCGGTATTCATCAGTTTGTGACCGTCTGCTGCACTGGCTCTGCGTAGAGGAGTTACAAAATCGGTTCCTGGTGGAACCAGGGTATGAACGCTGCATGCCAGCCGCAATAAGATGAGCTGCCGCCGACGTTTTTCCGGATCAGTGGGAGGATATCTGGCTAAGGGCAGACTGCAACGAATCAGCGATATCATCAACTCATGAGTATAATTAACCATTATATTAATAGCCGTAGTAACTAATTTTACTAGTTACTACCAGACAGCCACATCACCTGGTTAATCATTTAGCTTACCTTACTAGTTGTATCGGGTTTGTCAAACTGTCCTTGCGGACGATACTGTTGGTAACAACAGCACCCGTGGAAATTCTGAAAGTTTTCGTTGCTTATGGTGATGGCGTAAATTTTGGTTTATAGGCTGAAGGTCAGAGTGCAGCCAGTGTGAATATACGGATCAGAGAGATAGTTCAATGACGCTGATGATGTTACTAGTCCTTCACCCCCTGACCACGGTCGTTGTTGTAAGTCGCTCATATCTCTTTGGAGCTCTGGGCTAACAATAATAAACGAACTCGCTTGGTGTTGGGGATCCAACTTTCATTATCGCACTGGACTGACTCTTGAACGCGTACTGGAAAATGGTTGCAGTAAAACTTCCCGAAATTTAAAAATACAGTCACGTTTGTACACATTCCCTAAGCGTAACACCAATATTTTAGCGGAACCCCTTGCCTGACAGTAAAGAAACACTAAAAGCCAACATGGATCGGAAAATCAATCGAGCTTCTGTATGCTATCCACCTAGGTGTGATCGAGAGTATCGCCTACACCAATAGTGACGGTCGTATACTGGATGGATTAGTGAAGAAAAAGGCATCATTCTCGTATTCTTTTTCACATCGCTGCCAGTTTATTCTCCCACCCGTCGATTTTTCTTTGATCCGTAACACACACACAGACAACTTTTTATCGCTTCCGAAAAAATCCCAAGGAGCAAGTTCGTGCAAGGATCAAGCTTGATAAATTGTGCTGTACCATAGTTATGCACGTGCAAAATTCCCCATAAAATTTCCTACCGTGAGATACTGCAGTGTTTGTTCGTTAAACATTCTAACCCACTTCTATCCACCTGTGGTACACAGTGAACGACTGCACATGGGCACTGATGGTACAATGAGTTCCATCTCATTAGATCAAAATATGGGTTTCATAACCAACGAAGATTTCCTTCTACGGAGCGCTTTTAATTACCGGTCAGTGGTCTGACCCAGTTTTCTTCCAATTAAATAATGTATGCTTCCGTAACAGCGCACCGGTTAGTTTCGTTATCGATTTTCAATGCTGGATTTGCTTTCAGCTGTTTGGATCAAGTTGTAGCTACACAGTTTTTGTGCAACGGTGACTTACGTGTCTAGGTGAACAACGAACGTATAAACTGTACACTGAAATCGTGAAATAGGTGGATGGACATCTGAGATGGGGGAACAGACCAACTGCAAACTTGAGTAACTCGATCCTCAAACCAGCTTCAGTTTGACAGTTTGTGCATGCTAACACCGGAAGTGAGTAAGGACAATTGTGCTCTGAGATGCATGTGCCCCATCTCGTCACTGCGATCCCTTACTGGTTCAATTAGCAACTGTTGTGCGGCACCTCTTAGCAGCTGTTGCAATTAGTTCACCTTGTATGGATACCGAATGACATGCTCTGATGTGTTAAGCTACCCACAAATATCCCTTGGTCATTTGTTCTTGATAAACTTGACATGCAGTATTCCAACGCAATCGTAAAGCTCTAGTCTCGATTCTGCTGATACACTGCTTTCTAAGTAGTGCTTTAATATGAATGCTGTACTACTGTTCTCTCTTCTTCGAAGAAGTAGGGTAATCGATCTTGCAGTCTAATCAAACAAGATGGGACCTTGTATGGATTACCGATTTGCACATTGCTTTCGTCAGCATGCACCGTGTTAGACTGCCGAAGCGCTTTCATTTAGTAGAGTAAGTAAACCCCATCAATGGTGTTTCTCGCTCGTATATCCGTGAAAAATCAGTCACCTATCTGTTAGTCAGTGAGTTTGGGGAGACTTTAGAGAGCGGCACACATGACTAACGCGCTTCTCCTGTGTCACGATTCAAAATGCTAGGTCACGATATTGCACAGAAAGGTGCCCACATGGATAATTACTTATTTGTTAAAGCATGTTCTTGTCCACAATGGAAACGTTAACACAAACAGCGACAACTATTCCGTTCGCAAAGAGATGAGAACAGAAATCATCACTGCCCGAAATCCATCGACCTTTTCAGCGTTAACTTCCAGCTATAATAAATTAGAAAAATCAGGAAATGTATGGTGAATGTCCATAACCTGCTACACATGAAGAGAACCGATATGTCATTCTCCAGCCAGTAAGAATAAACACATGTGGCTCTTTGGGCACTTCAGTCTAGTTAGAACGCATTCTACAAAAGTGAAAATTTTCTGCAGCTGTGGCCTAGTAGATAAATCATTTAGTTGATTTGATAACCCCGGTACGATTCATCTCACCCATCGAGATTTTTACATACATTCAATGACCATCCAAAGCATCAATGACGAAGAGTACGTTTTATGGGCTTAAGAGGGTTAAACAATGACGGAACAGTAGCAGCTGTGTGAAACGCTTTGTGCGAGCGGCAGACAAGGGCGTGATGCTCCAACAACCGAATTCCACCTAAAGTTGTGGACTAAAGAAACCCGATTCTTCTGTAATTTCCTCAGTATGCTATTCATTTTTAGCGGGTGACTAGAAGGGGGCTGGCAAACGATAAAAGTAGAAGACTAGGTAACGAGTTCACTCACTACAGTTTTTAATATTCGCGGTACAGTTTTGCCTATTCATAAATTCTAGATTAATAAGCAGTTTCTATTGCCAACTTTTAAGACAACGGCTGAAAATCAATGAGTCGTTTTCACCAGTCGTCTATGGCCACCACTCTTTCGCAATTCTTATCAGTGAACTAGATAGCGGAACGCGTTTATTCCCTTCGTACACAAGCAATAATTTTGATGCAAAAATTATTGCTTGTATTGGTATTGAGGTACTAGATTTCTTAACATAGTGGAGGAAATAGGTCGATCGTACATTGGCAATTATGCAAAAATGAGGTTGTGTGTACATTTGTACACATTATTTGAAAACCAACTTTTGTGCGTCTGTACAAATGTACGCATTCTGTACGAAGGGGTTATACACACCTATTTTCGTTTACACATTCTCCATTATCTTTCAAGTTATGCTTAAGGTTTAAAAAGAAGTTTAGTGCTGACAAATGATCAGATCTACGAGTAAAAGTGCTGGACTTACACCAGGCCGTGATAGACAAAGGATGTCCATGTTTTTGGTCGCTCCAAAAAGTTATATACTTGTGCTTGCAATTTTCGATATCTCGTTTCGTTACGGCTCATGCGTGCTGGAAGCGTTTTACCGTGCAGTGATGTCCGTCGTTCAGAATGCATGTGCCCCCTCGGCTCCACTGGTAGGTGCTGCGTCTCTGCTCTTTCAAATTCTGACTGTGGTTCTTGGGAGTGTTCTTTGATGAAAACATGTAATGAATCGTAATTAGTGTCCCCGTCTACCACCATCGAAGGATAAATCGCTGCTCCGGGCAGGGTCCGCCGTAGTGGAACACTTTGACTCCAAAAATCTGTTGTGGCACAATCACTGGGTTGACCACCCCTTCTCTCAGGTAACCGCATCCTGTTGTTGCAGAGCACGGTGTGATCTTTGTAGCTAGATTCTTCCCGCTGCCTCGAGATGCAACTATGTGGTACAGTGTATTTCTCAGTGCAGTCGTTCATTTGGGGGAACGCCAGCGTGTACTACCAACATGCTACAAATCTGTGACACATTGCAACTTCGCGCACCTGGATGGGGATTTTACCACCCATTATTAAGATGGTTTGGATTGGTTGTTACAGTAACCCAATAAAACGAGAAACTCGTTCGGCCAATCCCTGCATGGTTAGAGGGTGTATTGTGAGATACAATGAAGTCCGTAAACATGTGTGCTAGAACAAAAGATACGCGAGTAAACATTTGTATCCTATCAATTTCGTTAACTAGATTCTGGCACCCTATTAGCACAGTTGCAAAATTAGTTTCATCCTCATTGTCATAAAACCAACATAAAATAGCTGGGTGGTTGTTAGTAGTTCTTACAATACTTATATGAGGCAAACAATAGGATGAATCAAGCGGCCTGAGTGACATTCAGGAATCTGACGTACATTGAGATTACTTGCTGACTGCAGTAAAATTCTACGGTTCGGAATTGAGCAAACGCTAAATTATTCAGCAACCGTAGCACTCTGTAAGAATCGATATGAGGGGCCAAAAGAGTGGAAAAATTGCTTTGTATCATAATGGCCGCCTAGATTAAGTCATTTCCACCCTTGAATTACGGCTAAGCGAGTGCTTCGGGCCGTGCATGGTATTCGGGTTGTATTTTTGGTCATTTCTAACCACTTTGGATAAGCGTTCTAAAGACACTTGATATCCTGATAGATACCACTTCGGCCTAAGCAACAGGGTAGTATTTCGTCTACTGATGAACCTTAGGGACGCACAATGACGACCTCCCTCGCTGTCATGATCCACTGTCTTACGACTAAGCCAACTGTAAAAACACATGCCACAAATGTATATACTCTTTTCTCGTATCACCCATCCCCATTATTACTTGATTATTCAGTTGTGCACAACCCTACCTCAATCGATGAAGTTGTTCTCACTACCCATCAACTCAATCACACAGTCCTCGACAGGGAGCTACCAGCCACGAAGTCTGCCATCTTCGCTACTGCGACCTGAAATGGTAACGCTCAACGTGCGCATACTACTGCAGATCGGACAGCAAGCTGAACTTGCACGCACGCAGGCGACCCTTGAAATGGATGTCTGCTGCGTGAGTGAAACTCGGCTGCAGGATTCCAACACAGTCCAGCAGATGTCCTCACCAGTCTAACCACACACCTGCTTTTATTGTCACTTTTCTGGTGACGCTGAGTACACTGCATCTAGGCAAGCTGGTGTTGGAATCGCCCCCAGTGCAAGAGGCGAGGCCGCCCTCCTTGACTGAATTTTAGGCAACAGTCGCCTATGTGCTGTGAGGCTCTGTGACTTCTGTAACTTTAGCAGGCATCGCACAGACAAGCGCGCTCTCTTCTTGAGCTCCTCCCACGCACCCACTGACTGCAGCTCAGATATAGTCAAGGACCGGTTCTATCAACATCTTCAGAAGCTGCTCCCAAGGACGCCTAAAGTAGACATCGGTGTTATGGCGTAAGACTTAAACGCAAGTATTGGTCTGTTGATGCCATGTGAACGGCACCTCGGTAGACAGCACGGGTATGATGATGCTCGCTCTGACAACGGATAGAGACTGCTTGGCCTTTGTGCTGACCAACAACCTTTCCTTTCCAGTACGATCTTTCGTCATCCTAGACGCCACTATGCCACTTGGCGTCCTCCATCTTCGACCCAGCGCTGGCCATAAATTGACCAAGTAGCCATAAGTCGCAGGTGGTGTTGCAGCGTACGCGATTTCCGATCATTTTGGTCAATCTGTCTTGACACCGATCATGCATTGGATGTGTACTGATTTGTATGCGTTTCAGCGGTTCACCCATGGTCAAGCAAACCCTACTCAGCACTCACAATTTAGAGGAGCCAAGAGTAAAACGTTGTATCAACAGAGGCTTCGCGAAAATATCGCCATGCCCCATGCTCTGATGGTTGATCAACACTGGTTAAATTAGCAAAAGCAATGCTGTCCGCTAGCTTGTCCAGCTGCAGACTCATCCGCTCCACAATCAGAAGCTGGATTTCAGTAAGACCCTCGGAAATGCTGGGTCGTCGACGAGCTGTGCGCGCCGTTGCGGAACATGAAAAAGTTTGTCGGTCTATCTCTCAAGAGCTAAAGTCAAGCCTTCGTTCTGACCGTGAATCCAGGTTGTCAAAACGAGCTGCTGAGATGGAGGCCGCCGCATTGGCTGGAAAATTCCGCAGTTTCTTTTACTTCATCAAGACCACTGGATGCAATTCACACGCTATCAGTCTGACGAGCTGTGAGTCAGACAGCATGAAAAGCACCAGTCTGCACAGGCGTTTGGGCTTTCCAATTGAACTGCTCAGCACAGCCCACTGGGACCACTCCGTTTCTCTCGGATGGCGCATGGCCTATCGGCAAACATGCTCCTACCGAAACAGAGGTCCGAAGCGCAATGCAATCTTTGAAGTTGCATAAAGCCACCGGTCCTGACAACCTACCCACGCCTCTATTCAAAGACGACAGGAATGCACTTGTTGTTACCGCATGACAGCATTGTTCTATAGACGGTACTGGACAAATTCCCATGGTGCTGGAGATCCGCAAACCAAAGGGTCAACTTGCATTGCAGAAGAGGAAGATGGCTTCAACTGCTGTCCAGTATATAGGGTAGTTAAGTGCCAATGATACCCGCTCCGGCTGCTGATGTGCCACAGGTTCACGCTACGAGTTCTTGCTTAAGTGAAGTCTGAGATAACTTCAGAAGTCAAATATGTGTTTTAGCAATGGCGGCTGCTATGATAAGACCATAGGACAGCTGGCACCAAAAGGCCGAAGAAGATACCCACCGCCTCTGTTTGCTAAAATCCTTGCACCTCCGAGTCCATCCTAGTCTATTAGTAAGATTCGCTGTAACTCGAACCTAATGGTCTTTTAGCCGTAATGTGTTCGACGGAAGCGGGGATTCCGCATCAGAATTTCCGTGGGCTTACAGAAATGTCAAATATTAACCTCTCTGACTGACGGTAACGCATAACGACACAAGCTGCATTTCAAAGACTGTGGTTAATGACAAACATCAGTTCGTGGGCATTTGATTCTCGCTGCGCAATTGTGTTATATTGGTCGACTATTCAAGTTAAGCAATTCCATCAAAGTAAGGTGTACGTCCGTACGAACGATCATTCTTGAAACAGGGTTAATATCTTACATTAATCAGGGAGTTCAAAACAGGTCTAGGTAGCGACTAATATCTGTTTGTCATGAACCGTAGAATAATTTGCACTACGTAAATTTCAAGCGGCATTCCCTTTCGCAGCATTTCATTGGCTATCCTTTGTTATCGTGCTATCTGTCGTCCGTTTAGGTTATTATTGTACGGTCATGCTGATGTTATTGACTCCCACGTGGTATAATCTCTTCGCAAAATTCTCTTGCTAATTTCACTAGTTCATTGCTTCCCTTTTGCTTACCAACTTCGTGCTCCAATTCTAACGCCAGTCACCTACTGGTAGTGATTATATTCGTTTCCTAAGGCTATAAGTTGAAGGAGTCTCAGCAGCGTTTTCGTACTGCAACTGGACAAACACTGAACCGAACTCCTCGTGATTTTGATAGATGACTTGTTTCTTGTTCCCATCGATATGGCATACAGATTTTTGTGTTGTTTTGGCCTTGATAGGTAATTGCTAAGTCTTTTGTCTGATTGAGAATGGCACGGACTGTGAGCCAATGGAAAAATTCCCTGTTCTCCTGCGTCACTTAGAATTCCACATAATGGAACCGCAGTGCTCTTTATGTTAGCAAGAAATTCTACTTTTTGAAACAAGTTCAGAGTTATGTTATTCATAAGTCACTAACGACAAAAATTATCAGTCGTATCCGACATATCTCAATGCTTTCTCAAGCCAAAGAGTGAATCGTAGCTACAGAAAACCTCTGAGAGATATTCCGAATATGGTTAGTTAACCAGAAGCATTATCTAGTGGCAAACACATGAGAGCTGATGTCGATGAAAGGCAAATATCACATCTTCTAGCGTCAGTTTGCGTTTGAGACCTACCTAGTCCTGAGAGTGTTGTGGTCCGCTCAGTATGCCTGTGTTTGTTGTGTGAAGCTTCAAACTAAAATTATTACCCTAGTGTTGAATATACGTCAAGCTTAGTTGCCTTAACCTTATCTAACTTTATGCACATGGCGTCGAATCTGCCGCTGGTTGCTGTATGCGAAACGAGGTCGCCCTTCTCTAGTTATTAACTTGCCTGATCGATGTCGTACTGTTAGCAAATACACCACGCCGTTTTAATCTCATTATCACTCTCAATACACATCCATTAAAGTACCTCCGGTTTCTTTTTCAATGCTAGGTAATTGTTATCCACGGCGGCCGAAGGCATACTACAAGCATATTAACGTGTAGCAGCCTCGATGCTTAATTAGTGAGGATTACTAAAGTCGTGTTCGGTTTATTTTGAAGAAATCGTTTCAATTTTATCCTGACATAGTTTGTGACCCTTTTCATTCAATGGCAATCGGTATCGTTTACTGTAGGGCTATAATCTAATACATGAAAACGAACGAAATTGCTTGGTGTCAATGTGTTATTACCTACAAATATTGAGATGGATTATCCCATACAGTACATTAATTTAGTGTCAGGATAACTTTAACATGTGTCAAAGCAAGGACGCGCCGAACCCGCCAAAAGTATTATATCAACCTCAGCTAGGTAACTTTTAGGTATAATCGAAAATCTGTTATGACATTGCGAACGATGCCGTTATAAAACGTGTCACACATTGACAGCAATCTCGTTCGCTTGACCTTTTCATCATTCTACATTTAGTATTCAAAACACCGTCGACCATGGAGTTGTAGTGCATTGTCTCCATAGCGACTTAAGGTTGGGTGAATCGCTACTTCACAGAACAGGATTGCGACGTTTTCCTAGAACATGTAACCCACCCCATACTAAGCCAATTCGCAGTCATCTCCAAGCCCCCTGATATAAATGAATACTGAGCAATGATT